TTTTACATACAATAAAAACCAATACAATGATAAATGATGATTTTCCAATAACTCCTTAATTCAGTATAAGCAAAATATTAGAAATAACATCTGATAAATATTATTTATTTTTGAAACTTTCTAGTTATTATACCAAATTAATTTAGAAAATCAATTTAATCTGAAAAATTTATTTTGTTAAGTGTAAAAAACTTAGAATTTTAGTATTCAGATGGTCGAATATGCATAAATAAGAATATTCAGGATAATATGACGCTAAGAGCTGTTAAATAAATTTCTGAACTACCATCAAGTTCATCTCAGAGGCAGAACTACAAAATAAAATATGAAAATTGTTAATAATATAGTTGTCAATAATGTAATCTCAATCCAATGAAATTAAAATTCTGTAACCCAGTGGCCTATGTCGCCGAGGTTAAATTTCGTTTAATAATAAAAAAAAAAATTTCTGAACTAATCCTCTCAAGTACGTACAAACCATTAACTTTTAAGACATGGCTACGAATGAAATAGAACCAATAGACAGGTTGTGGTTGATTTCTTGTTCTTAAAAAAAAAAAAACCAAACAAGTTATTCAAAACACTAAAACAGAAATGTTATCGGGTCCCAGTAGTTATGAAAATAAATTTGTTGATATAGATGGAGGTTGATGTTGGTAATTACATCAATAGATAACACAGAAAAAAACTAGGGGCGGTACTGGTTTGCGCACAAATACCAAAAAGACAACTTGTTTGGGCACAAAACTACCACTCGTTTGGGAACAATTGAGTCGTAACCAAGCACATGGTTTGCGTACAGTTACCTTTTAGCCTAACCTTTTAAAACTTAATAGTTTAATACCTACCATATTAATATTTGTTAATTTATAAGTAAATTATTAAAGTACTTAAATACATTTTCCTTTTCGCTTAACAGACTTAAGAGTGTCTAAAAATGCTTGTCAATACTTGCTTTTTAATAATAATTGTTAATAAATTTATAATATGTTAAAAATGCACGTTAATACTTGCTTTTTAATAATAATTGTTAATTTATTTATTATA